TATTTGATTGAATACGGGAAAGACCCTGATCAGCAACGCTCTAAGAAAGTCGTTACAAACCGCACATTTCAATTCACCTTAACTGGATTAGAAAAATTTACAACCTATTACCTCAAAGTCAGGGGAAAAACAAGCGAGAGAGGGAAGGCTTCAGAAGTATTAAATGCTACAACGTTTGAGGACCGTAAGTATTGTTAAGCCCCGTGCAAACGGACGCAACATTGTTGGCCAACAACTCCCAACATTGTTGGATGTTACATGTTGCGTCCGTTTGCACACCCTGTTGCATGTTGCCGGATGTTGTTGCGAGTTGTTGCGCAAGGTTCGAAACCGGTCAAACTTTTCAGCCAACAACTCCCAACATTTCTTGTGTTCCGTGATCGCCGAAGCGTAGCGCAACAATGTTGGATCCGTTTGCACAACTCCTCCAGCACGCTCATTACGTATAGTTTACAAAGACTTATGGGTTGTATCCTTCCCACGATGCGCTGCAGGTCCCAACATTGTTGGGAGTTGTTGCATCCGTTTGCACACCACTGCCAACACACACGCAATAACTCCCAACATTGTTGGCGCAACAGTGTTGGGAGTTGTTGCGTCCGTTTGCACGCAGCCTTATTTATTTATCGATTCTTTGTAAATGTTCAAGTTTCATGGTTTTTCGTATTATTTAAGAACCTTGGAGTAGCCGTAATCTGAATTTTTCACGCACACGTTCAGACGCAGCTGTAAAACGCGTTTCAAAAAGCCTTCCCTAAAAATCTAGGTAGCATAGCGTTTCTATGGCACTTGATTGAGCAAATCCGGCAGCTAAGGAGATAGAGCACCAGTCAGTCTCCTGTGGCAGTTTTGAATCCTACCCGTTCTGCAGTATGACAGCAGCGTTCTCCTTATCAGGCGATAACCGGTAAAATTTACAGCCTGAATTAACACTTCTTACCGCCTGCAACCCGCTTCAAAGTTTACTAAAGTTGAATAAGTAGTTTTAAAAAATACGTAAGTTGTGATCCGATCCGATCCGATCCGATCCGATCAAGGAAATTGATGAATAGATTATGGAAAAGTACTAAAGTATATACAGCTTTTCTTTTTATGGGCCATGCAATTTGGAAAAAGAACATTGAAGACAGAGTACAATTATTGGGATCAAACGTTTTAAATTGTTGTCTAAAGATAACAATGGCCAAGTTGCGTAAAATAGGTCTTACAATGAATTACGTTTCCAAGAACTTAGCTCCTCCTAGGGCGGGGCCATGTTCCGCACTCCACTACCCCCTCCCCCCATCAGGAAAGTGCACCTCTGGGGCATACTTTTACCTTACCGGGCATGAATGGTCCCTTACCTGCTGAGCTAAAATTTAGGGGGAACACTGCTGACATCTACATACGACCTTTGGTGAGATCACTGTTGCTGTGGTAACACGTTAGGGGTTTCTCTAATTCAGACAATCGTTGATTGACCATTGAAAATGAAGCTATCGGGCTCTTCTTCATTTTTCTGTTTCCGGATTCAAATGGGGGATGTGAACTAAAATGTTACTTTTGGTGGGAATGTTGGGATTTTCAACACACCCAGCCACTATGATATAAGATTGCGAGAGACTTAAAAAATATCAATGAGCCCTCCGAATAGGGGCACCAAGATCAGAAGGCCAGGTGTTTGAAAACAGTGCTACGACAACTTGTTGTTTTCACCCCTGCAATTTATTCATTTTCGTTCTGCATTTCTACAGGTCCTAGTGCCCCAACAAAATTTAGTGGCAAAGTCTTATCAGACAAAGAAATTCTGATTACATGGGAAGAACCTGTTAATGACAATGGAATCATAAGATCTTACTATATCAGAGTTTATGACACTAAATCTGGGCAAGAGGCTTATAACAAAACCGTACCTAAGGAAGGCAATAATGAACAGAGGTTGTCCAACCTTAAACCATATACAAACTTTACCTTCACGATACAAGCCAAAACCATTGAGCTAGGAGAGATGGCTTACTTCACAGCAAAGACATTGGAAGGAGGTAAATTTGAATTAATTTTGTCCTTACCCTTGTACCTGCCCTTTTAAAGCTATCTTCTAAGATATTCGTGCGATTTTCTACGGCCAGGGAGAAAGACCAATGTACTATTCCTTGTAGTTACAGTGTACTTGTATTTAATTTTGTATATAGACACTTGTTCTCCCAGGGAGGATTTTGGTGTTAACTCCTTCCCCGGAAGTTGGCAATAAATTGAATTAAATATCGAGGGCTGCTTCGTTCGAAATAGCTTACTTTTCATACGAATCGCTGTAAAATCGAAGGTATTTTCACTCTCGATTTGAAATAACACTGTAAAACAACATGGTATAAAATCATGTATCGAAAAAGCCAATATTATACCATATTTTAACTGGAATTATCTTTAACCTGTAGAGCCAGGTAAGCCGGCGGATGTCACGGCCAAGCTAGAGGAAGACAATATCAACGTGTCTTGGGAAGAACCAGCTAATCCCAATGGAATAATCTTAAAATACAATGTGAGTGGACGATATATATGTTCATGTCCTCTCATCTATTCCTGTAAGCTAATTCCATCCATTATTTCCTTTATGCCCCTCACAGGCAGATATGTTCAGTAACCTGCAGGAAGCTGTAGTTTTTTAAGAATGGCAAGGCTTGTTTTCATTAGCAACGGAGTATAAAAGAGACGTACTCAGAAGCGAAGAGCGAGTTAAAACAGAGTTCCGATTCCACTAACGCCTCTGTCAGTTACGATCTATTTGAAACCAGATTGCCGGAGTCGCAAGGAGAAGCAGAGAAACAGACGTAATCACCTTGTCGGCGACACGAGGGAATGGTTTATTTTCCGCTTCTCCTTCGGACTCCGTCCGACATTCTAGCTTTCATCAGGCTGTAAATGGAAACGTTCTATACTATGTTCACATTCTACCTGATAGCTTTTCGTGCCGACGCAAAAAGCATGCGCAGTAAAGTATTAAAAGCAGCGACACATATGAGAACTGGAACAAGTGGTTCACACGCATCGGAACATCGTTCCGTAACGGTTGGACGAGAGGGTATAGTTCTTCGAATTCCAATCCTCATCCCTGAATATTTACTTCAGGTAGAGAAGTCTCCTATTTTTCATTTCTTTTTCTTAATAAGGCATCATAGTTTTGATAAATTTTTTTTTTTTTCTACGAACTTGGAAAACGTTCTCCGGTCATCATTTATGAACAATTTCGAGTACAACATTTCTAAAACATTCAATACGCCTATCGAGCGTTTTCGCTCACATGGCCAGCAGCTGTGGTAAGTTTGCGACAAAATGAAGCGTTTATAACACAAGAAAAGAGTACAACTCCCATAGGACTGGTCTGGGACACAACGTGGCCCGGGCTTTTGTTCTGGTTTTGGGACACCAACATAGCAACCGTGACGTCATGTGAAAAGGGTTTTATATAGAGTGAAAATGGTAGAAAGTGATCTTATGCTGTGCTTTGTTTGCCCTTTTCTGTTCAGGTGTATTTCCAGGGGAGAAGAGCGTATAACAATTCTTTCAAAGATGATTTTCCGCTGGTGGAATCTAAAACATCTCGGTATAGGTCTATCAGGATAGACAAATTGAAACCTGGTACAGAGTACTCGATATATGTTACGGCGTTTACTAAGAAAGGAGAAGGTGCCAGAAGTAAGGCTGTTACAGTGAGCACACCGGCAAAAGGTAATAGTTAACATCATCATCGCGTGCTGACAGGTTTTAAAATAGCACTACGAAACTCTGCACTGAGTTTAAACCCTGATTGGTCGTTATACAGTACTGCAATACTTTGAAGCCCGATACCTCAAAGTGGCAGACGTCTCCTTTCCTCCAATGCCCACTCCTTCAAGGCGTGATACATGTACGTAGTCTGCGTTGCATTGATCTTATTCTGGAATAGGGGACGATAATAGTTAAAAATATCCGCTCGTTAGATCAAACTAGTTAAGCGTAACTCGTCGTCCCGTGAAAGTCTTTTAGAAAAGAGGGTATTTGCAACAATATTCTTTTAAAAAACGATAAACAGAGCAGTTACCTCCTTACCTCGCTTCTTCGAGCACCCGTTACGCATTATATCAGCACACTTAACGCCTCTGCTATCTTGAAAAATGTGTCTGGTTTTAGCAATGATATCTTCTTACGGGGATGGGACATTAACCAATGGCCTAGTCCTTAATCTGGATAGTCAGGCGTTGCAATTCATCTGGCCTTTCACCCAAAACCTGCCCAGCATGGTTGAACCCACCAGGGACAAGGACCCAAGTGGTATAGTTTCCAGGGTCGTCAGTGCATACAGACCTCCCCACCACGTTAAGGCACAATAATTAGCAACCGCCGCCTGGTTAGCTCAGAGAGTGCGCCGGTCTGCTGAGCGGAAGGTCGCGGGTTCCAACCCCGGCCTGACCAACACTCATGGTCTTAAAATAACTGAGAAGAAAGTGCTGCCTTTCTAATGACATCCGCAAATGGTTACTGAGACTTTCCAGTTTACTCGGATGAGGACGAAAAACTGTCTGTTTTTGTTGGACGTAAAAGAACCCACACCACTGTTCGAAAAGAATAGGGGAAGTAGACCCCGGTGGTGTAGCCATTCTTTACAGGTTGTGGGATTGGTTAGGGGTAGAACCTCGCATGCGACCTGAGTCCCGTTCGTGTACATTTCCTCTAGGCAGGCCTGTGTCCAGAAAAGCTGTTAAAAAAAATTAGGGAGCAGTAAAAAGTCTAAGTTAAATCTTATTATGTTTACAAATGTTTCCCTTCTTCGTAGACATCCATTTCCGCATGATGTACAGTGTGTAAGCTCATGCCGTTTTATGATAAAAGCTCTTGTGCCATCATCATTATCATTATTAAATATGGTATGAAAATGGCCCCATCCAAAGATTTCCAACTGTAGATAGTACTTATGATTGGCTGAAGTAAATCTTCAACTAATCAGGAACACTACCCGCATTTGGGTAGTGACAAAAATTCTTCCCTCCTTACTTAGACCATAGTTAATTGAGTGGAATGGTTATGAAACCCGTCAGACTCCTTTGTTATATGTTTTTGTGGACCTGAAAGTGCACAACGTTCAAAAGAATTCCTATCATTTTGATTGTATTGACCAATAAAAACCAACGGAAAACAAAGGATTGTGCACTTTCAGGGTGCTTCCAACATAAACTGCAGCACTGTTGTTTTTATCATTGATGTTTGCCGCTTTTCATAACCAGTCTCCTCTAATAACTATGCTTAGACGTCATGTCGCGGAGAAATCGTTCGTGTCATCGCTGAATGTGGGCTGTTTTCTCAGACTATTATCTAATAGGCTAAAGCTATATGTATAGAAATGTGAAATAAAGCCTTCCCCACCTTCTTGGTCATTTTTATTTCTAGTCTATTAAATGACCTTTGTGTTTGCGGCGTTCATCATTTTTCTCTTGCAGCTCCTCCCCCACCACCACTCCCACAGTTTGTCGAGGGTAGCATCAAACCCACCGAAATGACAATCCTCCTGACGAAATCTTCAGATAGCAATGGAAGAGTTGTGTAAGTCTAATAGATTGTTTCAAAGTTTTTAACCGCTCTTGTAGCAAGTTAAGGTGATAGTGTCAATAAAAGATAACTCTACTCGTACATGTAAGAGATCTCCCTCAGACCAATTCTCGGAAGTGACCACGTTCTTTTCAGAGACGTTTCTCGTCGCAAAAGTCAAGAGAAATGTCTCCGACCTGAGACTAGCAGTGTACTTTTTTTTCTGTTTTTTTTTTTTTCGATCCGAGGTCTGCCTGAAACTCTATTGTCTAAATCAAAGGATATTGGTCTTTTTATCAAATGAATACAGTTTTCGTAAGTTTTGTCTAGCACTGATTTGTCTCATTTCCATAATTCTGTCTTCTACGTAAACAGATATGGAACTGATATCTTATTCACACAAAGCTTAAACATTTTTATATGTGGTTGGTTGTTTAGTTCCTTAAGTTGGGTCACCTTGCTATTTAAGTTTGTCCAAGACTTGACACAGGTCGAAGCAAAGTGAGCGGAGCGTAATTTTTAGGAGTTTCTAAGTGAGAGAAGCGAGCTCTTTAAGCCGTGAAGCGACCGAGCGAGCGAAAAAGTCTCAAGGGAGGACTTTTTTGAAAGTCTAAGTTTGTCGCGAAGTAAAATCTATCTTGGATCCTACGTAGACGCTAATTTTTCAGTTTTCTAGTAAATAAGTAAAGCATTTATTTGTTATAAACACTATCAAATTACAGTGACGCTGATGTGGTGGTGTGCAAAATTAAAAACAAATAAGAACTATTCACATAATTAAGAATTTAAATAAATATAACCGATACGTTTAAGACAATAAAAAAATAACAAAAAAGACAAAAAAAGCTAAAATTGGATTAAAAACCACCAATAGCTAGTACTAAAAAATTGCATTGGACAAAATCTAGAAGACAATTTCTTCACTCAGCGTTAAATTAAAATTTTCTTAACAGGTGATTTTTCTCTTATCATCATTGTTCGACAGAAGCACTGATATGTTTAACTTACTTCCGTGCTATCTCTTTCTTGGGGTCGGCATGTTGAAACATAATTGATTTTTTAACCTTTATTTGGTTTCATGTTTAACTAATAAGTGTCTTAGTGGGGAGGGCATGCGCTTGTCCATAGTAACGTGTGAGAAATATTCTTCAAAAGCTTCCATTTGATACCCAGTGAACAGGCTCTCTGTTTGGGGAAAGGGTGAAAAAATCGCGAGGAGAGGGAAGGGTAAGATTTGTTCACCGTATCTCCAAACAGGGAGCTTCGGTTCACAGGCTACCATTTGAAAATGTTCAAGACGTCTTCAGTTAATATGCAACAATCTAGATAGCCTGATTCTCAGACGTCCGAGGTCGTTCGCGGTCCCTTCGCTTCCCGCGAACTACCACGGACTTCTGAGAATCAGGCTACAGTCTAGACGGTAAATTATTTTAGCAGCTCTTACGTGGATGTGTTCAAGTTCGTTACACGAACTGTTGTTGCACCCCACACAATAAGACCATACGTAATGAATTGTAATATTACTTTATGGTAGAAGTCCAAGCGGGCTTCAACTGGTAGAAAATGAAATGACTTCAACGGGTTAAAGTTTCTGTGTGAACAATTTCGACAATTCAGAAACGTGTTTAGACTATTCAAGTCACATCGTCGTTTTAAGGGCATAAATTCTGTCTTGCCTGGGTGTTGTGTTAAAAAAAATGTTGCGAAACCAGTTCGTGACTGTATTCAAAATAAAATTAAGTTAGGCGTCTACCGCGTCAGGATTAGGACAATTACAATTATATACACGTACATGGTGGTATCGTCAGGATACATATGCAGTTCACCATCACAGGCACTGACAATGTCTGGCAAATCATTATAGAAGAGAGAAAATAAGAAGGGACCGTGCACAGATCCTTGAGGGACACCAAGCGTAACTTTACTCGAGCAAGAACAACAGCCATTAACAATGGTGACTTGATGACGATCAGCTTGCAACTTTTGAAGCAGCACATAATGAGAAATAGAATCAAAAACTAGTCCACGAATACGATCCCGACTACTATGTAGTTGTCAAGTGCTCTCTTCCAATCTTCGGTCATATGTTCAGTACAATGATCTTTCTTGTATGCCCACTGATGTGGGTTACTAAGGTTGTTGTCAGAAATGTGAGACATGATAGATGAAGCAACTGCTGACTCCATAGTTTTACCCGAAACGCTTAGCAATGAAATGGGGCGATAGTTGAATTTGTCTGTTTCATAATCCTTTTTATAAAGTTGAAGTTAGCTATTTTCCATTTGCAGGAACAACGTTTTAGTTCTAGTTCCTCTAGCTGCTTTTCATTTTCTCACACCCTGTCGGTTAAATAAACATGTCTTGTTGGTGTAAATGAGACGTAAGTGTACTCCCTCGTTAAAGGCTTAAATGTGTATGATTTTGTTGTATTAAACTAGTGTTCATGAAGTTGTAGTGGAAAAGGTCGAAACAGTCAGCAAACGGTCAACATCCTCTTTACCAGAAACCATTCGTGGCTACAGAGAGGCAATGGCCAATGGCGATCAATATTATATTGCTGCCAGATTTGAGCGAGATAAAGAACAGGTTCCTAGAAAGTTTGTCCTTGGTGATGGAGAGACCTATGGTGGTTACAAGAATGCGCCATTGGAGCCGATGACAAAGTACAAGTTGTATGTGAGAGCAGCAACTGAAGTTAATGGGGTAAGAAACAAAATAATAATAATTTGTGGCGCGATCGTTTGGGCCACTTCCGGCAAAGAAGGTCTTGCAACATTATTTAAAGAATCTTCGCCGCGCACAGGTAGTCTAGGAAACCTCGATGTCTTCTGATTGAGAAAGACTTAAAATACGTTCTTTTTGGTTGTTGTTGTTGTTTTTTCTTGTACATTGATAATATCTTCCAAAGTGACCTATTATTTTTTTTAATATGCAGAAATGGGTTTACGGAGAGCCTGCTGAAATTACCCTTCCCACTACCGGTAGGTTTTGAGCAAGAAAGAACAGGCGCGCGAGAGAGAGACACGCGAGGGGAGAGGGAGCCTTCCGGGCGGGCGCTCCCCCTCCCCTCGCGTGTCTCCCTCTCGCACGCCCGTTCTTTCTTGCGCCCTTTACTTATTTTTGGAGGCGTTTACAATCAATTAAACAAAGAAACAATGTTGTACACTACAATTTCTTGTGGATAGCAGTAAATTGTGTGATTATCATTTGACTTGTGTTGTGATATATGTGACAGAACTTGTTACACAATTATTAACTAATTATTACTCTTGCCTGCATTTGTGGGTCTCAAAAGGTATTTTATTTCAGTTGTGTCTTTGAAAGCCTTTTACAACCTCATTCCCAGGGCTTAATTTTCCCTCAGAAATTGGAGAAGTAAAAACCTGGGAACGGAGCTTGACTGGAGTATGATAGAGCTATACAGGTGAAATTAATTTCATCATAATAACAATATAAGCAGTAGCTTTGCAGGCTAGGCATTCTTAGCTTTAGACAAAAATTTAAAAATATTGTCCCTGCTCTGATGGTTCAAACTTTTTGAAATACCTTAAATAATCTACAAAGCTCCCTTTCTCAAATAAGCCCCCCTCTCTGATAAGCTCCCGCCTTTTTTTTTTCAGGAGAAGAAAGTTATTAACCCCATCTCTCTTAAACCCTCCCTTCCCTCCTCCCTCATCCTTAAAGGATAGACTATTAATATTAACCACTAGGGACTTTAAGAACCGACAATGCGGTGGTCTGGAACACGTGAGGACCGAGGGTGGGGCTGGGGCCGGCACCGCGTTCTAAGCGCGGGAAATATGTAGTTAAGATCAACAACGCGATCATTTAGACTAAAAGTCATCGTCCGGAAAACAGTAAAATGCTTTTCACCTTTCCCTTCAAGAATGACTCAAAACTCATTTAAGACATTACAGGAAGCTTTGCTCCTTAGTCTGGAAGGAAAGCTAATAGATGACGACGAATTTGCCGTGCTGTATGAAGAATTCATTCCACAAAACCTTCCGTTTCGCCACTGGGATTACGAAAAATTTTCCCTCGTAAACAAAGACCCCGCAGAGTGTAAGGCAGACTTCAGATTTGAAAGGAGTGACATCTCATCAGTGTCTCATTGCTGGTGGATGTTTTACAGATGCCTGATACCTTCACATGTCCAAATGGTACCGTTTGAGATTCAACAGAAGGACTTTGTGTTATACTAAAGCGCTTTAGCTATCCATGTAGGTTGTCTGATATGATTTCTACTTTTGGTCGATCAGTACCCGAGCTCAGCATGATTAACAATGAAGTCACTGAATGGATGTACAATGTTCATGGCCATAGGATTACCGAATGGAATCATTTCATTATGTCTCCTAACCTACTGCAAACTTACTCTGAAGCAATTCATGACAAAGGTGCTGCCTTGGACAACTGTTTCGGCTTTGTTGATGGAACGGGTCGTCCCATATCAAAACCAGGAGTCAATCAGAGAGCTGTTTATAATGGCCACAAGCGTGTTCACGCTCTTAAGAGCGGATGTCAGGAAATATCGACCTAAGGTCTACAAAAGTGAAAAATCGAAAATTCTAAAAAAAAATTCACAAAGTAGCGCTAGGTAAGCTATTAACATAAATGTAATTTTTAATTCGATCCGATAATTATTTTCGACGAACGGGGGGGTTATTGGTTTCCCGGCTCTCGGACCGGGTTTGCAGGCCCGAAACCATGTGTCACAAAAAAATCGTTTTAAAATTCATGTAAGTGATTTGCTATAATCACGTTACTTTTTGTTGCGTCGTAGTACGTCGTAGTTATGTAACGCAGATATTATCTTACACAATCGTACACTCGAAAAGACAAGTTATTTGGAAGAGAGAAAGACACGTTTATTTTAGAGTTTTTAAAAAAAGTTCAGATAGGAAAAAAGAGGTATGTTTTCGCTATCCCTTATTTATACACGTCATGTAGTTTGATTGCATTCCAAATTATGTTGCTGATTATCCTTAAACTTTTTGAGTCGCTAATTGTACATTTTATTTTGGGTTACGCCCCCATATTTCGCGTCCAGATATATTTTTGCTAGTTATGGATGTTTCGCTGTATTGTTATTTCAGTTTTTACGTGATTCCAAGCCACATTATTAAAGAATTATCACCGAGTAGACTGGCTTTTGGTTGAAATCGTTGTAAAGGCCCTCATCCTCGAGTGGTCAGAGAGTGAATTTGTGTTTGTTTACCGATCGACTGACCTCCGCCCCCGCTACAGTAAAAACTCTTTGTCAGTAAACGCATGAGACGATAACGTATTGATTGCACCGATCTAAGTAAGATGGCCACTGGCTATGATTTCCAGAGCACTAGCGGATCCTGTAAGAAAAGAACTCGCAATCAGACAGTAAAAGGCAGGGAATTTCAGAGACAATTGAATGAAGATCAAAGGTCTTCCTCCCAGCGTGGCTGGCGTAGACAGATAAATAATATCGAAAACTGCTTCGCTGACTCAACCGATCCAAACAAGTTGCAAAGCGAGAGAAATTTTCTGGAATCTAAAATGGATATCTTAGTCTCTGCGCAGGAACGATTTCTAGACACCCTGGAAGATTCAGAAGCAAAGCGTGTTGCGCAAGATAAATTTGGGAACGAGAGCACTCAGATGCACTAAAACGAGTTAACTCGAAAATAACAGAGCTTAAGAACGAGAACCAAAGCTTACTCTCTTCAGTGACAGCTTCTTCAGGCCGTAAAAGTAAGGTCTCACTTCACAGTACGAAGTCACGTTGGAGCAGCAAAATATCGCATTCATGAGCTATAATTGATAAGAAAACGGAAACCGCTGTCAAACTCGCCGAGATAAAGACGGAATTGAATTCTGCAGAAGGCGAAGTAGCAAAGGTTGCAGAATTAAAGAAGTTTAAGCTTACGAAGGAATTAGCTATGGCGCAAGCTGAAATGAATGCCATCACTAAGGTAGAAGAGAGCGAGCTAGGCTTAAATGACGGAAATGACGGAGCCATATTACCCGGATTTATCACTAAAGACGATCTCCTACAAAATTATCTCGTAACGCAAGCCTCTTCAGTAGCTATAGACAGCCCTTCAACCGTGCAGACAGGCCTAACGGAAACAAAAAATCCCCTTCTGCCAAGTACATCTTTCCCGATCGTAAAGTCACATGAAAACGACCCACTGGAACCGAGAACCGAAGATTCTAATAACCCTGGGTGTCCTGTGATAAGTTACCCATCATCGTTGAATCCATTCGCGCAAGAATACGTCGCTTTGTCAACGCCTGAGAAAGCGGAGCGTAAAAGTCTGCCTATCGCGCAATGCAAACAATCGACTCCAAATAGCATGGGATTTAACTTCGACCAAAGCGTAAATTTTCCGAATCGAACAACTGGAGACGTCCTCGAACGGTTAGCTAACCTGATGACTCAGCGTTACGCGCGGGAGTCGTTGCCGCTACCCGAACCAGAAACTTTCAAAGGAGATCTTTTACATTATCCTTCATGGGGGAAATCCTTTGACTCCACTGTGGAAAAAGAACCGACAGTCCATTACCTTGGAAGATACACAGCCGGCGAAGCCAAAGAAGCAACAAGCGGCCTTCTTACCTTGGAAAGCACGAACGCCTACCACGAAGATAGAAAAATATTGTCCGACAGATTCGGAAATCCGTTCCTCGTTGCAAATGCCTACAGGAAGAAAATAAATGATTGGCCTAGGATTCTTCCTAATGACGGTATAAGTCTTTGAAAATTCTCAGACTTTTTGGTTAATTGTCAGACAGCCATGAAAGAGATTCATTATCTGACGGCATTGAACGATCCCGAAGAAAATCAGAAAATGATCAGTAAACTTCCGCGAAACATCTGCGATCGGTGGGGCCGCGAGGTGGGTCATTGGCTTAACATGAGAGGACAAGAACTCCAAGAACCAACAGCCACAAAGTCTCCCTACCCCCCTTTCTCGGCTTTCTGTGACCTCCTGAAACGCGAAGCTAGAATTGCCTGCAATCCGGTGACAATGGCAAGAGCTGAGGAAGAGGTAAAGAAGGTGGAGACGTCTCAACAGAGACTTGTAAAATTCGGCAACCGGAAGAAGAAGCCGTTAGGAGCGAACAGCCTCGCTACTGGCTCAGAAGAAGTGAGCAACGGGAACAAAGGTGAAAGCAAACAACCTGAACGATGTCGTTTATGTAAGAACACCCACAATCTGAATGAATGCGACAAGTTAAAGAAACTGAATTTTTCAAGTCCAATGGTCTTTGTTTGGGGTGTCTCAAGTACGGGCATATGAAGAGACTGCCGAGGGAAGAAGGTCTGCTCGACTTGTAAAGGTTTCCTTTCAACGTCCTTACACACAAACGTACCGAAACCCGAAGGAAAACCTGGAACGTCTCCGAAGAACTCATCCGCGGAAGTCACGTCACATCGCGTAAACACTNCAGACTTTTTGGTTAATTGTCAGACAGCCATGAAAGAGATTCATTATCTGACGGCATTGAACGATCCCGAAGAAAATCAGAAAATGATCAGTAAACTTCCGCGAAACATCTGCGATCGGTGGGGCCGCGAGGTGGGTCATTGGCTTAACATGAGAGGACAAGAACTCCAAGAACCAACAGCCACAAAGTCTCCCTACCCCCCTTTCTCGGCTTTCTGTGACCTCCTGAAACGCGAAGCTAGAATTGCCTGCAATCCGGTGACAATGGCAAGAGCTGAGGAAGAGGTAAAGAAGGTGGAGACGTCTCAACAGAGACTTGTAAAATTCGGCAACCGGAAGAAGAAGCCGTTAGGAGCGAACAGCCTCGCTACTGGCTCAGAAGAAGTGAGCAACGGGAACAAAGGTGAAAGCAAACAACCTGAACGATGTCGTTTATGTAAGAACACCCACAATCTGAATGAATGCGACAAGTTAAAGAAACTGAATTTTTCAAGTCCAATGGTCTTTGTTTGGGGTGTCTCAAGTACGGGCATATGAAGAGACTGCCGAGGGAAGAAGGTCTGCTCGACTTGTAAAGGTTTCCTTTCAACGTCCTTACACACAAACGTACCGAAACCCGAAGGAAAACCTGGAACGTCTCCGAAGAACTCATCCGCGGAAGTCACGTCACATCGCGTAAACACTAACGAGCCTGAGGACGGTGGCTTTTGCGACTCTCACTCTTTAGTTGTTCCTGTCTGGCTTTACCAAAGAGGCTAACCTGAGAAGAAAGAATTAGTTTACGCCTTCCTCGATGACCAGTCTGATGCCTGTTTTGTATCAGAAGAGATCCTTCAGAAGTAGCTATTTCCGGACCTCACGTTCAGCTGAAGCTGTGAACAGTATTAGGTGAGGACTTCGTTGCCTGCCAAAAGATTAACGACCTCGTTGTACGTAGTGTAAATGAAAATCAAGAGGTTTTGCTCCCAAAGACGTATTCGCGGAAAGAGATCCCAGCCAAACAAGGCCAAATTCCAAGACCTGAAACCGTGAAGGAGTGGCCTCACTTAAAGCGTATTGAAGAACACCTATTGCCGTACCAACATGACGTTTATGTGGGTCTGCTGATTGGGGCAAACTGTACCAAAGCAATAAAGCCAAGATAGGTGATTCCTGGCGCCGATGACGGCCCGTACGCGGTGCGAACAACGTTAGGATGGGGCGTGATTGGAGTGATCAACCAGTCAACCATAGACAACCAAGAAAACAGCCATTGCTTCTGGAACCGCATAGTGTCGCGAGAAATTGAAGACAGCCTCGTGAAGACTGTGAGTCACGTGGTCGCAGAAATTTCAGCTAAGGAATTGTTCGTACCAGCACATGTTAACAGAATGTTCGAGCGCGATTTTAGCGAAGTCTCTAAGGAAGAAAAGACGCTCTCGTTTCTTGACCGAGGATTCTTGAACACTTTGGAGTCAAACATCCAGCGCTTGAGTAACGGTCACTACGAAATTCCCCTGCCAATAAAGGAAGAAGGATTGAAGCTACCAAACAACCGAAACTTGGCATTAAGCAGACTCCATAGACTCAAACACAGACTCAAGAAGGACAGCAAATGCGAATATCGCAAAAATCGCAAAAGTAACAAGGATTTTTCTTGCGAGCTGAAAACACCCGTGACAAATATCGCAAAAATAACAAAATTAAAGGGAGAGGAGGGAGGGGAACAGTGGATTAGTGTTAGGTTTCGTTTAACAGCAGTGGCGAGTACCCTTATTTACCCCGGTTCAATAAAATTTTTCCATGGAGATTTGAGATAAAGCAATGACCAAGTATTTGAATTTCATGGTATTTTTTTTATTACTAATTACCGACTCAATTTAAAATATAAGGTGGGAAACGTTTTGTGTTTACGCAATTTCTAACAGGAACTATGAATGTCAGGCCTGTATGAATGTATAACTAAAGTGTTTGATCACATTAATTACAGGCATGATTAGTTTGAAACATGCGTAAGCTAAAATATTTCATCTCCAACTGCGATATATCTTAAAATGGCTAAATTGAGTTGCACGACTTCTTATTTCTTCTGGTAGAAGAAAAGATCCACGATAATCGAATAAATTGTTGTGTACGTACACATATAACATTCGTTGGGATGGTTGTCGGTTTAACTATAAGCCTTGATTTAAAAGGGAAGGATTACCAAGTCACTGGCAATCCCTGTTTAAAAAACTTTGGGTATTGCACAGCAACATTCATGTATAATGCCTGTTTTCTTTCCCTCAATGTGCTATTCTTGATATTTTGGAACGATGGTTGCGGTGGGTTCTTGGGCATGAAAGTTCTGCTACCACCCCCTTTTATTGCTTAAAATTTGCCCCCTTCTGTGGGCGGCACTCCTTTTTATGTATTGTAGCTGTATGTTGATGGAAGAACGAAGCATACACAGATTGAGATTATAGTATTTTGCTACTGTCAGTAATTATAAATAGTGTCACGTTTGTAACTGATAATTTCATTTTCGCGAAAATGAAAAGCATTACAAAATTACTGGACAAGAACGTATCCCAGTTAAGATAACCATTACTATTAGGGAAAAACAGTGATGCGCTGGTGTTCTTGGCTCCTTTCTTGCCCTTCAACAATTCTTGCCTATTCTTGTTACTCTAGCACAATTTGTGGCATTTTGCCATATTTGGTACTAAATCGTCTCACATGGCAGTAAAATTCTTGTTACTTTCGGCAATCCCTGTTTAAAAAACTATGGGTATTGCACCACAACATTCATGTATAATGCGCGGATCTTATGACCCGTTTACTTTTCCCCCAATCTGCTATTCTTGATATTTTGGAACGATTGTTAACCACCCCCTTTTATTGCTGAAAATTTGCCCCCTTCTGTGAGCGACACTCCTTTCTATGCATTGTAGCTGTATGTTGATGGAAGAACGAAGCATACACAGATTGATATTATAGTATTTTGCTACTGTCAGTAATTATAAATAGTGTCACGTTTGTAACTGATGATTTCATTTTCGCGAAAATGGAAAGCATTACAAAATTACTAGACAAGAACGTTGCGAAATTTGCAGACATCTCGAAGCCCTTCTTGACCTTTCCTCTTTCCTTGTGTAGAATTTTGTGAAATTTGTTATTCTTGCAATTTTTGCCATATTTGTTGCTCAGTCTTTTCACATAGTAAGAAAAATTCTTGTCACTTTTGCGATTTTTGCGAAATTTGCGGACATCTCGAAGCCCTTCTTGACCTTTCCTCTTTCTAAGTGAAGTATTTCGTTAAATTTGTTATTCTTGCTATTTTTGCCATATTTGTTGCTCAATCGTTTCACATAGCAAGAAAAATCCTTGTTACTTTTGCAATTTTTGCGATATTTGGGGACATTTCGGGGCCCTTCTTGGATTCCTTTTGTTTCCAAGTCTGGAATTTTGTTACATTTGTTATTTTTGCGATATTTGCGATATTTGTCATGGGTGTTTTCAGCTAGCATGAAAAATCCTTGTTACTTTTGCGATATTTGCGGACATTTCGGGGCCCTTCTTGGCTTTTTTTCTTTGTAAGACTGGAATTTTGTTACATTTGGTATTTTTGCGATATTTGCGATATTTGTCATGGGTGGTTTTAGCTAACATGAAAAATCCTTGTTACTTTTGCGATTTTTGCGATATTTGCGGACATTTCAGAGCCCTTCTTGCCTTCTTCTGTTTCCAAGTCTTGATTCTTGTTAGATTTCTTATTTTTGCGATTTTTACGATATTTGTCACGCGGGTTTTTAGCTAGCAAAAAAAATCCTTGTTACTTTTGCGATTTTTGCGCTATTTGCGGACATTTCGGGGCCCTTCTTGGCTTCTTCTGTTTCCAAGTCTTGATTCGTGTTAGATTTGTTATTTTTGCGATTTTTGCGATATTTGTCGCGGTTGTTTTCAGCTAGTATGAAAAATCCTTGTTACTTTTGCGATTTTTGCGATATTTGCGGATATTTCGGGGCCCTTCTTGGTTTCTTCTTTTTCTAAGTCTAGAATTTTGTTAAATTTGTTATTTTTGCGATTTTTGCGATATTTGTCACGGGTGTTTTCAGCTTTTTGCGATATTTGCAAGTGATTTTCTTACATAATTTTTTCTCAATTATTTATTTTGCGACAATTGCGAAAGCAATTTGCTAGCAAATGTTTGCTAACAAGATCGATCCTAGACGTAAGTGCAAATTCTAACCAAGAAATGTATAAGGTACCCCAATCCAAGAAAACCCCGTCAAATCTAATGGTAGGACAGTTATAAAACTCTACCGAAACAGCTTGGAAATGAAATCAAGTTTATTCAAGGATTGAGTGAACTTAAGGAAAACATAAGTGACGACTTACGTAAAATTTCAACAAATTACAACAACATATTTGTGCTCGATGATTTGATGGGAGAGGCTGTTGATAGTCCAATTATATCCCGGTTATTTACCCGAGGACGACATCGGAATGCCAGTTTTATCTTACTGCCCCAAAATATGTGCCCTAAGGGAAAAATTTAATACAGACATTGCTCGCAACACTCAGTATATTGTCATTTTTCGAAGTCCCAGTGATCGTAAGCAAGTTGATATCCTAGCAGATCGCATTTTTGCAAAACGTTGACCTAAATTCATGGATGTCTATGAGCAGGAAACTGAAAAGCCCTATGGAAGTGTGCAATGTTGATTGATAATCAATCGGGAACCGCGAAAGAACAACAAGTGGTGTGTGACATTTTAGAAGGCTGTAATTCCTATCCTAACATTATTCAATCCAGTGTACAACCACCGAGAGAACAAACGTCTACAACACAGCCCTCAAGAAAGCAAATAAATCAACCTACAAAAGAACTGTCTAGTAGGGCTTCTATAAGGAGCTCTCCAGTTATACCTAGAAAACCCCCTTTAAAGCGATCTCGAGTATCACAGGAGTGGAAAACCTTTGAATCCTATAGCTCTGAGGAAGACTCAGAAGACTCTGAAAATCTCAAGATTCTGAATAATATAAGTCTGAAGACTCTGAGATAGAACCAACCATACATAGACGAGGCAAAGGAAGACCAGGCTTTTACCATTCATAATAGTTTATTTTTGAAAGACCTTAAAGTTACAAAGCGGGACATGTGGCTTCTACCTAGCGTAGGCCGCCCTTTTTTCTAAGTGATAGAAAACGTTCTCATTAGCTCTTAATAAAAAGATGTTACTTAGTCTAATTAAAAAGTTCTTAATAAACTATTGAAAAAAGTCTTAAAGTCTTACTTAATAAGAAAATTGATTTAAAAAGGGCTAGGTTCTTCAATGTCTTCCCTTGATTCTTCTCTTGGTACTTGGTTTCCCCAATGACCATGGGCTCTTGTGCTATACCCGTCCCCTAGAACATACCGCTTATTATCATAGGGGGACAGCAATTTTTTGTTCTGTTCAAATAACGTGAACATCTCATGCTTCTCGCTTCTCAAGCTGACCATCTTGTGTTCATATTCTTGCTTGGTGAATAGATATGTCTTCTAATCCTCATGCTTAATTTGCGTTGCTAGAACTGATCTCTTGACTCCTTTTGCTGTCTTCTTTTCTTTTCCTTTGATCTTGCCAGTCAGCATCGAATACATTTTGGCACGAAGACCCACAAACTCCAACGCAGGCTCCCCAGCGTTCTCATCTTTAAACTTTCCAATCTTTTTCTTGTTGGCTTCACTGAAAGAAAAATGCTCTGGAGGGTATTCAGAGGTGTCGAAGAGGTCTTGGTCTTCTTGCATGTCTTTATAAACATCTTCCGTCTGGATTTGGTACATTAAGCTGTCAGTATCTGTGAACAGTAACTTAATCTTCTCTGCTCCGTACTTGCGAAGCATGTGATTGTAGTGAAAGTTGTACATCCACAATTTAGAGAGGTCTTACACACTAAAACCTGTGTAAACAGGCTTCTCAAGGATTATAGTGGAACGCTTCATGTCCATCCCCACGAAGTAGTCTTTCTTCTCCTCATCAGATACGAACACCACACTCCTCTTGTAGGTTATTTTAGCTACGTTCTTCTTCAACATGGATGGTTCAAACTCAAGTTTAATGTTGACCCTCTTCCTCACATCTTCCATCGTTTTTCCAAAGACGGAGTTATTCATAAGCTTGGAAAAAGCCTTCTCAAACTTAGTACTCGCTTGAGCCTTCAGTCTGGTGTTCAGCTCGATCTAGGGCTTCAGCCAGGTCTGCTGTTTGAACTTGAGGATACGATGAATCTTTGTAAGTTTCATCCGTAAGGAAAGATATAATTGCAGATTTCTGTAATGCAAAATGTATCCTCCCTTAGGCCACAGATTAGGGACTAACTTCTACACTTTGCTGGGTTTGTACTCTAAATGCGTGGTTAACTGCTGGCAGTAAGGATATGTATCATCTCTGGAGTGATTTCTATCTTCTCTGGGGCAACGGGGTAATCGTTCTAAAGGTCATGGAGCTCTTCTGGGTATTCCAGATCAACCTCTAGAATGTAGCCAATCTCTGCATAGTCAGCAATCTCATTCACGTCAAAGCCTTCAAACTCTGTTTTCCACTCAAAGTCTCCGATAGGGAGCGGTTGTGACATAGCCCATCCAGACAAGTTGTTTGCATCATAGTAGATATTGAAGCTGTTAGGCTGTTCAGGATCGTAGTCCTTCAGGTACTTGTTGTTAGCTCTGGCGTAGCAGTGAGTAATCGTAGAAATACCACCTCGCATTCCCCGCTCAAGGAACATATGCATCTCCTCGTCTCTTAGAGTGCGCAATTTCACACCGGTAATCTTAGAGAAGCATCCCATACCAATCCTGGTACTGTGTGGTAGTGAGCGGGATCCACATCATATTTTTTCAGGCAAACATCTCTGAACTGTTCGAAGACATCAGCTAAGAGGAATATATCCTGATAAAGATAGATATCGTGATAGTCCCCCAACGTTTCACAGCCCATCGTACTCCATACTGTCTGAGCAAACTCGTACTTTTCTTGGGAGATGTCTTCTTTCGTCAGTTCATTATAATAGTCTTCTTCTGGACGCAGACTTGTTTCATTGAATTTGTTGGAGTTATCCATGTAGGAATAAGGGTATACCCCTTTCTTACATAGCAACTCCATTTCTTCGGGTGTAACGTCCCAGACTTGGGGAAACATTTCTTCTAGGATGGGGAAATCATTCAAGGTACTTGCTAAGGTATCTAGACTTGAACCTGGGCCAAAGAATTGGATCGAATCCAGGAACCTCAGGTTCCCCAACTGGAATGACACATACCGTTCCATGTTGTTCGGGATAAGCCGAATGTTCTTATATCGGTTCTCTGCCTTGTTCTTCTTGTTAGCTTTCTTACCAGAGTGACGGTGGATTCCACGTATTATTAAATGGCCGTCATACCCTTATAGATTCTGAAAGAAAAGTGGTATACGTTTGATTCGTTTCTTGTTTATGTTACAACCAGCGTGGGCAGCCCCTCTATACTCTCCAGTAGCATGATTGTGATCGCGTACTTTTCGAACCCTTAATTTCTTTTCTGCCTCTTCTGGAGTACCATCAGCTGGTCCCGTTTCATAGGATGCGGCTGTGAAGGGTTGCTCACACATATAGCAATGTGTAGCTGCTTGAAACTCAGCTTCCTGTTCTTCGGTCAAGTGCATTGGTTTAATTTCAGCTAGGAGTGGTTTCAGCTCCTCTTCTAACTCTTGAAGGCTTGTAATTAGCTCATCCACCACTCGTTCGCCAACTTCTTCTACAGACATGTCTGGGGTTGGTGTGTGGCGGTACAGCTTTGTGCGTGAGTCAACATCTGGATGTTCAGAAATCAGAACCGAAGCAAAACTACAGGGGATGTGCTTTTGCGTTTTCTTAGTTGTTCCACTGTCATTAGTGGTCTCTATTTCCTTGAGTATGCACTCAAAATCTCCATAGAGACGGAACAGAGTTGGCTCTCTTTTGGCCCAACTGGTGAACTTTATTTCCTGGTCCACTGTTTTTGTTACCTGGGCTGGGAAATGACGGTACATTTCTTGGTGTTTCTCCAGTAAATCTGGGTGGGTGAAGCCTTGGAAACATCTATCACAAAAATATGTCTGCTCATTGTGTTTGTTTACTCTTGAAAGAAGTCGGTTAAAGTTTTTAACCCAGGCATAATGTTCTCTATCACCTTTCTTCCAGTACAGCAAAGAAACATGATTTTACAGTTTCTTATCAGGGACTCTCATACTCATCACAGTGGACTCTCTTATTTTTTGTATTTCTCATCATTCGTGACACCAATGACAGTGATACTAATGCCACGATTCTGTTTCTCAAACTTGGATATCTGATGAATGGGGACAGGAAATTCAATTCCGTCAAATTTTAACTCCTCCTTGTAGTCTTGATAGTTGGTAAGACGTTCGGCATGGTTTGAAGCAGGATGTAAGGCTGCCAAGATAGACCACTTGAAACATTGCTGGTCATCATTCTTAATGTTTACCTATGCTTTAGTATCATGGATGTCTTTGGGTAGTTCAAAGTAGGAACTTCCCTGTAATGGCTCATACGTGTCCATTTCCGGAATGAGAGCGTGGTTCTGATGGAGAGTCCAACCAGATCCGGCCTGTGCAAATATGGACATCCGTGCCTCTAATACTTCCATAGATGCATCCATTTGTTCTTGAAGCTGCTCTGGATATGTAAGGGTGATGGGGTGTTCAAATCGAAAATGGGCCGAATACAGCATTGGTTGGCTCCGGTATTTATCTGGCATAGACATCTCACAATGATAGACAAGGCTCCACTTGATTGCTTTCTTTTCTTTTAGGGCGTCCTTCAAACGTGCTTCTAATCTTGGTATACTTTCTTTAAAAAAAGACTTTTTGGTCTACTTTCTGGGCTTTTGTTTTCGGGTAGAAGTAAGCATACACTCTGTTCCCATCCAACATAGAATCTTATCTGTCCGGCTCAGGGATGCCTTTTTCGTCCATTTTCTTAGGAAGGTCTTGTCTGGTTCGTTTGACCTATCTTATTTCTTGTTCTAAAGTTCTTTTTACGCTGCTCGGGTTAGGGATGCCTTTCTCGTCTATTTTCTTAGGAAGATCTGGTCTGACTCGTTTGACCTCACCTGTTTCTTGATCTAAAGTTCTTTTTACATCACTCCCCTGTTGAGATAGGTGGAAATGCTGCTGGTGATGTTCCAAGGTAGATTTACGGGAAAAACATTTCCCGCAACCAGCGAAGGTATACTTGAATGGTTTAGCCTTCTCTTTTCCACAGCGCTCTTCATGAAGGTGAAGAGCCAACTCATACTGGAATGGTTTTTTACATTCTTGACAGCAAAAACCTTTGGTTACCACTGGTTCAGGATGCTTTTTCTTGATATGGCTTTTCATATCATCTCTTCTAGCGAAGGTAACTCTGTTCTGTGGTTCCACAGCGTTTAACATGGCGATGAAAATGAGTGGAATACTTGATCCAAACACTACACTTAAGGCATTGCTTTCGATCTTTATCCATAACTCTATCAGGACTCGGAGATGTGAACAGTTCAACACTCTGAAAGTTGCTCTGAAATGAAATGAATTCTCTATTAGGACCCGGCCTTTTATACTCTCATTAGCTGAAGTATGACCATGTATGGAATGAGGGTACCCTGAGAAATAAACCTCAGCTCACCTTTCGGTATTTCATGATGGATTTACATTCTGAGTTGAAACATTAAGGATAAACCACAGATGTGAGGAAATAACAGTGAGGCATTGACTAACGAAGTTAAATTCACGTACTCCAATAACTGAGGGGTGAACGGTTAGCATTGACTCTCATAAAATACAAGATTGAAGTCTAATAAGTGTGAGATGAGTGGTCGAAGTTAAGCTCACGCAAGGGTGATGATTGAAAATGGATAATCTCAAATAAATGTAAAACAGAAATGAGTAAGCCCCCTCCAAATAACTCTGTCCGAATTCTTTGTTGACTCAACTGAATAAAATCACAAATGTGCAAGTAACAGGAGATTTCGAAAAAGATTTGATAAAAAAGTTAAATGCATTTAAAAAAGTGAACAACGTTTCGGCGCTACGTTACGCCATTATCAAGTTGAAAAGTGAAAAAGTATAAGGTGTAAAAAATGAAGAAAAAAGCCGTTTGCAAATTGGCTAATTGAGCTTGCAAACCGCGGCTTCGGCATGTCCACGGATGCCTTCCTTAATCAGTGAAAAAGTTCCTGGACAAGGAAGTAAGAATTATCACGAGGAGCCGCAAGCAGTAAAATTTCTGTCCCGTAATTTAATCAGTTAAATCATCAAAGTTGACAGGTCTTTCTGATGATCAAAGCGACCGTTCGGTTTACCATTTACACCTTCAGTGCGAAGACTGTCACGGGAACATTAACACCTTCAGGATAATTGCTTACCATAACAGTGGTAGGTCGCGCGCGTCTGGTCGGTTTCGAAGAACGTGATCGTGACTGTTGTTTTCATTCAGTGACTGTGCGCGTTGATATGCCAGCGTTTAAAACAGACTGCAACATTAAATTTTTGTTATAAAAGCAAAGAAGCTGCTGAGTAGAAACTAAACCTTCCCAGACTTATTCCGTTTCATTCGTGTACTTTCATTTTGATGGGGTCTGTATGATGAATTTACTTCTGCCTTCTAATCAGGCACGTAAACAACATAGAGATAAAACATTTCATTTTCCTTTTGTGGAGAAAATTCATCTTAAAAAAGTTAAACTAGTGGACCACTTTCTCCGCGTACTTGTAAAAATAGGCATTTAATATGTCGCGCTACAGTGCGAAAATCTTCTTGTCGTGGATTAGATTTCAGTATATATATTGTTAATCTTCATTTCGCGCCAGAATAAATTAGTTTGCGCGCAAAGGGCTTCTAAAAAAGATCACAAGGTTTGTCCCACTTCGAGTCCACCTTCTGGAGATACGCCGGCATGGTAGCTGGAATATTAATACATTGCCGAGGCGAAGATCTGGCATTTTTTCCTCGTCGTCTTTTTTTTCCCGCGACGTTTGTGTATATTTGTAGTGAGAATGCCGTGCATATCGGTGGATTTTACTTCAGTCAAGCGGCTTCAGTTCCTGCGGCTTGCTACTCATCATAAAGAAGAGTGCCGGAATCGCTTTGTTCGCCTTTAACAGGTAAAAGAACGGACTACTGTAAGGTAAGAATCAGGGCGGATAAAGGTTGGGCGGTGAAACGAGCGCTCCGCTCTTCATTTAATGTGTGATGCGGAGTAGGACTGGCACGAGTGCTCTTTCCGCGCTTCCGGTGCGCTTGAAGGCCGGCGAAATTTTCGTTTTTGCAAACCGGAAATCCTATTTTCTTCCTGTAATTTTAGGCTACAATGTTAAATTGATAAATTCGTTTTATAACGATATCAATAAACAGTTTCATATGTTTGTGTCTGTACGTCTATAAGTCAAACTTGTTGGTCGTATAATGCCAAAATTTGAGTTTAATTGAAAGTGTTGAATACCTCCTCGTTCCACTAAATATCACCTAATCGTCTTTCGCCGTTTCGTTTGCAAAAGCTTAACACTTCTTAACCTCAATTTTTACATATGTTAAAGGGGGATAAATTTTATCTAACATAACAAAAAATTAGATTGATATATATTGATATAGTAGCGTTGTACTTCTTCAAACTTTGCTTCTCGGGTGCAACGCGCCATGGCGATTCGCGTAATGCGTTGCAAATTCGGCAACTGCATGTAAACGAAATTTATTGAGGTTAGTTGTAAGGTTTTTTCTCCGTTTTTCTGTCTAAAACAAAACAAGGTAAACAGTAAAAGGTGAGGGGAAACTAACTTTGAAGTTTCGAAGAAACAGAAAGACGTATGAGATGTTTTTTTTTTTTTTCAAAATCAAAAGAAGGATGATGGTGATTGAAATTAGCATAATTTCACCTTGCACGAGCTGCACGCATTTATAAAATGCACGTCATCTAGTTATGAAACACGCTCTGCTGTCTTTTAGTTTTGCCATGGATGACATGGATGAGATTTTCCTTCGTATTTTAGACAGTACTTAGTTGTTTCTGTTTTGGAATAACATCGACATTGGCGAGTAGCAGAACGAAAATATAATTCAGTGGTGGAGTCATGGAAGTAATAAAAGAAACCCTTTGAAAGAGATGTTTGTCTACTTCGCAACTAAACCTCCCGCAAAAAATAGGAACATTTAGCTCTCGGAGACAGCGTACCAGCACAGAGGAACGAGGAAGAAGTGCAAGAAAACAAATCAAGCCGCCATAATTCAGTGAAAGCGGCAGTGTCTAATGTACAAACCACATCGCAAGCCCTGACCGAAGTCGAAAACAAGCGACATTTCTAAGCAGAGTCCCAGTCCACTGCATCACACCTTTTTGCTCGGACGCGCTCGTTTCACCGCCCAATCTTTATCCGCCCTGGTAAGAATTGAAGTTTAAATTTGTTTCTCGGCGAAAAAAATGGGCATACAACTCGTGAAACCCGTGAGTATTACCTCTGTTTAATATACCGGATGTCATGCGATGACCTCTCGCTTTTACGATGGAAATAATTTCTTTCGCAACGTTTAGTATAATTTACTTAATATGGACATCATCTGAGGACGATTTTTCGTTATATATGCTTCATTTCTTGGCTTATTCCGGCTACGTGCGAAAAATTAGATGACAATGTTTGTGTGCTATAATTATACGTGGGTAGAATATACCTGACGATTACATTTAATAATAATCACTGCATTTTCTCTCTGTAACATCGTGGGTAGAACATACCTGAAGGTTACGTTAATAATAATCATTGCATTTTCTCTTTGTAACCTCGTGGGTAGAATATACCTGACGATTACATTTAATAATAATCACTGCATTTGCTCTCTGTAACCTCGTGGGTAGAACATACCTGAAGGTTACGTTAATAATAATCATTGCATTTTCTCTTTGTAACCTCGTGGGTAGAACATACCTGATGGTTACATTAATAATAATCACTGCATTTGCTGTCCGTAAACTCGTGGGTAGAGTATACCTGATGGTTACATT